GGAAATATGGCCTCCCTGGAGGCATGGGGACAAAGAGCAAGACTTCCAGATTCTTAGAGGACTTTACTAACCTTGTGAGCATCACAGGAGCAGCTGCTGGGGTGTTGCAATCCCACTGCAGAGAGGGCTTTAAACTCTTACAAAGCTATCTGGAGGCTAGCACTTGTCTGCATTGCAACATCTTTCCCATCTTTCCTTCCCATTACAGTAACTACCCATACCCATAATAAGCAACAACTAGTATTTGTGTGAGCCTTGGCTAGTTACTTTGATTTTGGAGCCTTCGTTTCCTCACTTGTAATATGTGGTTAGAAATCTCTTTCTCATAGTGTTGTTAGGAGGGATCAAATGAGTGCCTGTTTATGAACTCAATAATGGCATAGGACTGATTTAAAGAAGAAATGGCATTGAATAAAAGATTAATAATAACACTATCAGTAATAATACTATGTTATACATCTCAGTTCTAGAAAGCTCTCTTATATACTTTTGTTCAGGGACTGAAATATTCCGGTCTGTTTGGATAGGAGATAAGACATAGCCCACCACTGTAAAACAGAAATCTGTGAGCCACAAATATGTGTCACATGTGTCATCTAAAATTTCCTAGTAGCTATGTTTACAAAAGATAAAAACAGCCTGGCAAAATTAATTTTAATAATACGTCACTTTAACCCACTATCTCCAAAATATTATCATTTCAGTATGTAATTCACATGAACATTATTGGAGCTATCTTTACATTCTGTTTTGGTGCTACATCTTTGAAGTCCTGCGTGTATTTAGCACATCTCATTTGGGACTAGCCACACGTCAGGTGCTTGATAGTCACGTGTAGCTGCTGTGTCGGACCGCACACACTGATCAGTAATGCATCTAAAAATTAAAGGTCTCTGCAGTGCTTCACGGTTTCCCAAACTCTTGATATTTAAAACCCGTGTCAGCCTGACTAGGCAGATGCTTAGCATCTCCATTTTTGTAGATGAGCAGAAGCAGCAGCAATTATGTGTAATTCACCCAAGGTCATCAGCTGGTAAATGGTGAACTCAAGCCTTGTCTTCAAACTTGACACTTTCTCTTTGGCTTCCTTTTCTAACAAGCAATACAGAGGCAAGCTAGAATATTGTCAGACCTACAAGTCTCAAGACTCATTGCTCTAGTGCAGGGGTGGGCAAACTTTTTGACTCGAGGGCCACAATGGGTTCTTAAACTGGACCGGAGGGCCGGAACAAAAGCATGGATGGAGTGTTTGTGTGAACTAATATAAATTCAAAGTAAACATCATTACATAAAAGGGTACGGTCTTTTTTTTTTTTTTTAGTTTTATTCATTTCAAACGGGCCGGATCCGGCCCTCGGGCCGTAGTTTGCCCACGGCTGCTCTAGTGCATGAAAAGGCACAGTTCTTTCAAAACTCACTGACAATTTCTTCTCTTCAAAATCACGCCCAGTTCAATCCCACCAGAATCGGTTAGTGTCATTTGTGGGGCGCGGCCAGTGTTTTGGACAGGTTCAAGCCTTGGACTACTGAGAGGGCACAGTCCTCTCCTTGCCACGTGCAAGTCCCAGCTTGGTGGGCAGGGCCTTCCCAGCACAATTATAGCCAACAGCTATAGTTGTAAGCTTGAGCCTGTGGTCCGAACACGTGGCCCCACGTGCCTGAGTGATAGAGTTCAGGTGCATGTAGTTGAGTGGGACTGAAACCCACGAGAATGTTGTAAACAACTTGATCACGCCCTTACTTTGCCTCGTGGCACCTGCTATAAAATAAAGACACGGCTTGTGGGCGTGGGCGCTGTCCATCAGGGGAGCAGCATCCCACCGAGACCCAGCTTTCATTCTCATGTCTGTCTTTTCTTAATCCTTTCATCACCCCCACTCGGGATCACCCTTGGCTGTGCCGGCGCGGCACAGTCATTCTAAAAATACGTGTGTGCTGGATCAAGCACCGTTCAGCTCTGAGGTGCTATGGGTGTAAATAATATACATGGGCATAAAACAACCCGACCCCTCTCTCTGATAGTCTCTATGACATAGGGATTTAGTTTTCCATTACTTCTGGGGGTTACATTGTAGTGTTTCAGCATCCCAAATAAGTAAGAAATGAGGTGAAGACTCCTCTCTTCCAGTTTAAAACTCACATGCATGTCAAATGTTTACACCAAAGCATAGCCAGACCCAGACGGCTATCAGGGGAAGAGGCTCCTAGTGCAGGATTTCTCTATAAGAAGATGACAGATACATTGGGGTTTGGGGACAGGCTAGCTTGAGAACTGCCCTGTGAAGGACCAGCCCAGAGACTAATGTTCCCAAAGAGATGCCAAGGGCAACTGACCACCCTCCTGCCCAGCGGAGCTGCCCCTCATGAGCCCCAGCTTGACCTGGCTAGTTTTTTTGCCCCTTCGAAGGGTGGTGGCTGGAGGGCAACAAAAGGCTTGTAAAGCTGTACCTGCTACTTTGTTTGGAAGTCTACGTCCCCACAAATACCCTTGTCAAATGAACTCAAAAAGAGCCTGAAGTCTTCGCTAGTAAATTATATTTATTCAAAGCTCTTGGAGTTTGCAGCTAGGAACACAGCTAGGCAAAACCCCAGAAGTATCCCAAAGGAGAAAAGTTAAAAGTTCTTATAGTAAAAAATATATATTCTTGAGAATTATCAGTCCTGCATTCTGAGTCCTAGGTCTGGTCCACACGGTTATCAAACAGATGTCAGGCAGTCGGGATGATGGATGCCAGGTGGTCCAGAGGATGGGTGTCAGGCGGTCCAGAGAATGGGTGTCAGGCCTGGTAGCACCCAGTGGTCTGGATAACGGATGTCATGTGGGCATGTATGGGAGTCCTTCAGGGGTAGAGGATTACCTGAAATCCAGATGTATATCCAGGCATTGATGCAGGATTGGGAAACTCAAAAAAAGTTTAAGTTCCCAGGGTAGTTAGAATTAGGAATGAACTCTTTTCTCATGCCTCAACCTTCATAATGTTAATAATTTAAGCAGTTTGGTTAAAATGTGTCTATTTTAAATATTCCCTATCTTCACTTTTTTCCTCACATACCTCCCCTCCCCCCCACCTTCCAAGAACCGAACTGAACTAAACGCCCTTCTCCGGGCCAAGGCCAAGGCCAAGGCCAGTCTCCAGCTGCCCTCCGTCCCCAGCCGCGCCTGGAGTCTCCAGGGGATGCGTATTCACACCCGCGCGGCATCAAGTCTGCGGGAGGGTCCCCGGTGCACGTGGCACTTGTGCCATCGCCAGCCAGGCGGTGGGTCGAACACTACACTTTTTGGAGGCGCTGCGACACCCCTGGCCGGGGCGCGCACCTACCCGACCCCATACCCGCGGGGAGGGGGTGTCGGTCCCGCACCGCAGCTGGGCCACAGTCTACGTGGCTCCGGGGCAGTGCGCACGCCGCGAGGCGGGGCCGCCAGCACCTTCCGGGGCCGAGGGGCGCGTCCGGCGGGTCCGGCTCCTCCGCCCGGGATCCGGGGCCCATCTCGGAAGCAGGGCCAGGCGTCGGGGCGGGGCCTGGGGGCCCGGAGCCGCTGAGGAGC